GCGAGTTTTTCATGAGTAGATTGGCCGTTTTTTTTTTGTTTTATAATAAATTATCAATTGTATTTTCTGATTTTTGTCTGTAGGGATAACGTTCCTATCAACAATAACTTTCAGGACCCTTTCCTTCGTTTTATGAGCCGTCGAAAAGAAGTTCCTGCAAAATAGTCTAATTGGGGGTACAAGTGTTGTGTTGGTTGACTCTTCAGAAGTTGCATGGCGTTTTACCTTTCTTTTTATGATGTCTTCAACTAAACCGTTAGAGAAGCCGTTGTTGACTAGGACTATCCTTAACCCTACAGAGATCTTCATCGACTTCTTTCCATCCTGAGCTGTGGCTTAGAGCACGGTCGACGTAAGCATTGACAACACTTCTCTTGTACCTGTCTGGGCAGTCACCATTGGCATTAAGGCACATTTCCATGTTTGTTTCTTTGGTGTAGACTGCAGTATGGAAGCCTCCGCTCCTTTCCGTGACTGTTACATCCAGAAAGGGCAGCTTTCCATTGTTCTCCATCTCGTACGTGAAACTCAACACAGAGTTTCATGAGTTTCCACAGTTTCCACAGGTGGAAACTGAGTGCCCAAATGAGCCACAGAGATATTAGAAAGAACTTTTTAAGTGTCAGAGTGGTTGACAAATGGAATGCATTAGGAAGTGATGTGGTGGAGGCTGACTCCATACACAGTTTCAAGTGTAGATATGACAGAGCCCGATAGGCTCATGAATCTGTACACCTGTTGATTGACGGTTGAGAGGCGGGACCAAAGAGCCAGAGCTCAACCCCCGCAAACACAACTAGGTGAGTACAACTAGGTGAGTACAGAATTTTGCTCAAATGCCTCCTTCAGCTGCTGCAGACATCAGGCATCAGGTACCTGTGTAAAAATGTCGTCAACATACCTGCAGTATATGGCGGGTTTCAAGCCCATGTCAACTAAGACCCTCTGCTCGATGGTGCCCATGTAGAAGTTCGCAAACAGGACACCTGGGGGAGAACCCATGACGACCCCATCTACTTGCTTATACATGTGCCCATCAGGGCTCAAGAAGGGTGCCTCTTTAGTACAAGCTTGGAGTAGTTTCCTTAGTATGTTTTCTGGTATGTCAAGAGGAGTACAAGCCGGATCACGATACACTGTCCACTATCATCCCGATTGTCTCGTACACAGGTACGTTGGTAAATAATGACTCCACATCCAACGAGGCTCTTACCCCTTTGGCCCGTGCTCCGCGCAGTAAGTCGACAAATTCCTTGGGAGACTTCAAGCTGAAAGCACAGGGTACGTAAGGAGTTACCAACCCGTTGAGTCGCTTAGCCAGTCTGTATGTGGGTGTGGGTATCTGGCTGATGATAGGCCGAAGAGGGTTTCCTGGCTTGTGGGTCTTGACATTTCCATAGGCATACCCAGGTTTGTATTCCCCAACAACTTTTGGCAGGTGGAGTCCGAATTTCTTGGCGTTCACAGTTTCGATCATTCTGTTTACCTTCGTTTTCAATTCGGCTGTAGTGTCCTTCGTTTCCCTTTGGAATTTAGTTTGGTCAGAGAGTATGAGGTTCATTTTTGCCAGATATTCGTCTTTTTTAAGAATGACGTATATTGGCGACTTGTCACCTCTCCTAATGACTATCTCCTTGTTCTCACGAAGGCTCTTAGCTGCCGCTTTGAGTTCGGGGACAGTATGGTGCTTCTGTATTTACCTCGAAATTTTCCTCCTTCTGCAATAAGTCCTGCTTGCAAGGTGTCTTTAGTGGTCAGCTTCTTTTCCCTCTCGAGGTCGAATATATCGTCCAATAGGATCGCCAACGATCAAGCAGATGTTGCCCTCCATATAATGCCAGAAATTAAGCCCAACGAGATTATCTTGCTCTTGAATCATTTATTTGCTGAAGGGGAAAAAATGCTGATAAAGGTGAAAAAGTGAAAGATCAAGACCATCCTTGGAGGAGGTGACTGCAAGAGCAGTCACCCCCTACACCCACATGTATCCTGAGGGTGAAAGGTAGTCCCACCTGTCTACTCCTGGACCCACCTGTCTACCCCTGAACCCACCTGTTTACCCCTGAACCCACCTGTCTGCCGATAGTGAAGGGGTAGCGGCCGGTCAGGAGAGCAGAGCGGGTGGGGGAACAAAGATGCTGGACATAGGACTGCTCCAACACGACGCCGGATCGCGCCAACGCTTCCAGCTGAGGCGTCTCCACCAGCGGGTTGTGCCACGACACGTCGTTCCATCCTGCATATCAGACCACAGCACCTTTATGCATGATTAGTTATAAAGAACACTTGCATGTTTGTTTGGTAATTGTGTCAGGCTTAAACTGAAACAGATAACGCTTAGCTATATAAACTTGATATGCAACAACGATCACAAAAAAAAAAACTGATCCAAGTATGCGGAAAAAAACACGTTTGAAAAATTAGAGAAAGCTTAATGGGATTTCGGCTCAATTCACCTTTATCTGAGCAAAATAGAGGTTGATAGTCTATATCTTTTCCGATGAAGACGAATTGAACCGAAATTGCGATCATCATTCGCAATTTTTTTATGTGTTTTTACTTTATAAACGTGGTATAACTGTCAGGTCGTTTGGCTGTCAACTTATCATGTAGGTTAAAGTCTTCAAGAGGACAAGTGCGTATGTGATCACTCTGTGAGGAAGGTTGTTTAAGCTCACCAACATCGTCAGCTACAATGAGTATGATGTGAGGTTGTTGGGGTTTTGAGCGTGGCGGTTGTGCTGGAGCAGGAGTAGCACAGGTAACCCCCAACGTGGCCCCAGTCATCAACAGCAGCAGGAGTTTGCTTTTGCCTGATGCCATGTCTAGAATGTTAAAATATTACTTGTTATATATGTTCAAGTCAAAAGTAGCTTACAAGTTGAGCGTTCCAGGTTACTCAATACCACTCATTAGAACCACTGTAACCAGACCTTTCGTGCAACAATGATCTGTCAACCGACCTCTCAATCCCCTCCCCCTTCTCAAATAGTCATAATAGTCACACCAGCTGACTATTATTCGTACCATTTACCATTCGTCTTTAACTTTACGAATCTTCCATCATCTTCCTTCTCCGCCGTTTAAAGAAAATTCATTCTTCCCAATCTTCTATCCTTCAGTATTTTCCCATTACTATTGGTCTCTTCATCTTGTTCTCTCACTCTACTTTCACTCAGCTTATTCACCAAAAAGAACAACACAAACAACTGGCAGAAATTAGACAAAATTTTGATTGAAGGTAAACCTGGGTAAATACAGGTTTGGAAATAGGATTTAAAGATATGTTTTGGAAATAAATTTATAGACATTCATAATGGGATGGACACACTAGAGAGATAAGAAGACCATTTAATGAGGACCAAGAGAGATAGAGAGAGAGACATTCAAACACAGAGACATATTTAGTCACAGGCCAAGACAGACACACACACACACACACACACACACACACACACCACACACACAACACACACACACACACACACACACACACACACATACCGAGTGATAATGGTCCAACAAATGGCTGTTGAAGTTCAACCCGAGTAAATGCAAAGTAATGAAACTAGGCAGTGGAAACAGGAGGCCAGGCACAGGATACAGAATAGGAGATGAAGTACTTAATGAAACAGACAGAGAGAAAGATCTAGGAGTTGATATCACACCAAACCTGTCTCCTGAAGCCCACATAAAGAGAATAACGTCTGCGGCATATGCGAGGCTGGCTAACATCAGAACGGCGTTCAGGAACCTGTGTAAGGAATCATTCAGAATCTTGTACACCACATATGTAAGACCAATCCTGGAGTATGCGGCCCCAGCATGGAGCCCGTACCTTGTCAAGCACAAGACGAAGCTGGAAAAAGTCCAAAGGTATGCTACTAGACTAGTCCCAGAACTAAGAGGCATGAGTTATGAGGAAAGGCTGCGGGAAATGCACCTCACGACACTGGAAGACAGAAGAGTAAGGGGGGACATGATCACAACCTACAAAATCCTCAGGGGAATCGACCGGGTAAACAAGGACGAACTTTTCAACACTGGTGGGACGCGAACAAGGGGACACAGGTGGAAGCTGAGTACCCAAATGAGCCACAGAGACGTTAGAAAGAACTTTTTCAGTGTCAGAGTAGTTAGCAAATGGAATGCATTAGGAAGTGATGTGGTGGAGGCTGACTCCATTCACAGTTTCAAATGTAGATATGATAGAGCCCAATAGGCTCAGGAATCTGTACACCAGTTGATTGACGGTTGAGAGGCGGGACCAAAGAGCCAGAGCTCAACCCCCGCAAGCACAATTAGGTAAGTACAATTAGGTAAGTACACACACACACACACACACACATATGCTAAAAAAAATGCTAAAAATCCTAAAAAAAAACTCTGAAGTAATGTCTGCAGTGATGGAGGTGGCCATGAAAGCAGCCACCTCACAGGAGGCGGCACGCTTCACTAGCCAACTGCTGGAAAGGTATTAAAGAGCAATATTACTGTGGGTATTAAAGAGCAGGAAGGCTCTAATAGGACAGAGTGGAAAGACAAGGACAAAGCGGCAGTGAATGAAGCACTGAAGGCACTAGACATGGAAGGGGCTGAGCATAGCATTGAGAAGGTTTTCAGGCTAGGATGGTACAAGAAAGACCGAGACCGAGTGATAAAGATAGCGTTTGCAAACGAGAGCACAAAGGAGAAGATTCTATCAAGGAAGAGCTCCCTGAAAAACGTGGGGGAATTCAAAAATGTATTCCTCCAGAGAGACATGACGAGGGAGGAGAGAGCCGTGGCGGCAGAAGCAAGAAAGAGGCGCAGGGCGAGAGGGGAAAACCAGGAAGTCATAGCTCCCAACACAACACTCCCAGAGGCGAGAGGGGAACCCACAACCAGCTACCCAGTAACACCAGAGGGGAGGACAACCCCGCCACCCTCCTCTGCATAGAAAACCCCCCTGCCCCAAACCCTCCCTGCCCCCACTCAAATGTTCAGCCAAATCTCCCTCCCCCCACACCCAATCCCCACCCTTCTACCCCTCCCCTCCTCCCGCCGAGTCCCCCCTCCCCTTTCACCCCATACCCTCCCTGTCCCTCCCCCTTCCCTGGATCCCCCGCTCCTCATCCCAGTATCCTCTGAGACCCTATTATACATCTCACAGTTCCTCACACCCATGGAACAGCTTCCCCCACCAGCAGAACACTCACCAAGGAGGCGATTTGAGAAGGGACAGAAGAAAGTGAGCCTCAAAACAATGTACACTAACATAGATGGAATTACAAATAAAGCAAATGAGCTTGGAGAATGGTTATTAGAGAAAAACCCAGACATAATAGCCCTCACAGAAACAAAGCTAACGAAAACGATAACAAATGCAGTGTTCCTACAGAACTATTATGTTATGAGGAAAGAGAGGGAAGGAAGAGGTGGGGGTGGTGTAGCTTTGCTGGTAAGAAATGGCTGGGATTTTGAGGAGATGGATATTCAGGGCTGTGAAGGTTTCAGTGACTACATAGCAGGTAACATAACAACTGGAGGGAAAAAAATTATAGTCGTAGTCATATATAATCCACCACCAAATGACACAAGACCCAGACAGGAATATGATAGAAACAACATGGCCACCATTAACATAATAGAAAGAGCAGCTTCTGTTGCTAGCAGGAATGGATCTGGACTACTATTTATGGGAGACTTCAACCATGACAAACTATTCAGCACGGGTGGGACACGAACAAGGGGACACAGGTGGAAACTTAGTACCCAGATGAGCCACAGAGACGTTAGAAAGAATTTTTTCAGTGTCAGAGTAGTTAATAAATGGAATACATTAGGAAGTGATGTGGTGGAGGCTGACTCCATACACAGTTTCAAATGTAGATATGATAGAGCCCAGTAGGCTCAAGAATTTGTACACCAGTTGATTGACAGTTGAGAGCCGGGACCAAAGAGCCAAAGCTCAACCCCCGCAAGCACAATTAGGTGAGTACAATTAGGTGAGTACACACACACACACACACACACACACACACACACACACACACACACACACACACACACACACACACACACACACACACACACACACACACACACACACACACACACACAAAAGGTTTCCCTAACTTGTATACCATGCAAGGTGATGGAGAATATCGTGAGGAAATGGCTCGTAGAGCATCTGGAGGGAAATAGCTTTGTAAGACACCACCTGCATGGGTTCAGAGATGATAAATCGTGCCTCACAGGTTTAATAGAATTCTTTGACCAAGCAACAAAAATTAGGCAAGAAAGAGAAAGGTGAGCAGACTGCATTTTCTTTGACTGTCAGAAAGCCTTTGACACAGTACCCCATAAAAGGCTGTTACAAAAGTTGGAGCAACAGGCAGGAGTAAAAGGCAAGGTGCTCCAGTGTATCTAAGCAACAGGAAACAGCGAGTAACTGTGAGGGGGGAGGGAGACATCAGAGTGGCGAGATGTCACCAGCGGAGTCCCACATTTCTCTGTACTTGTACCCATCCTGTTTCTAATAGTTGTAAACGATCTTCCAAAGGGTATAGACTCATTCCTCTCAATGTTTGCTGATGATGCAAACTTTATGAGAAGAATCAAGACAGATGAAGATAGACAGACTACAGGATGACCTGGACAAACTCGTGGAATGGGCTAGGAAATGGCTACTAAAGTTTAACTCAGGAAAGTGTAAAGTAATGAAATTAGGCGAAGGGAACAGAAGGCTGAACACAAGGTACCATCTAGGAGGTGAAATCCTGCAAGAGTCAAATAGAGAGAAAGATCTGGGGGTTGATATCACACCCAACCTATCCCCAGAGGCCCACATCAAAAGAATATCATCAACGGCATATGCTAGACTGGCCATCACAAGAACTGCCTTTAGAAACTCGTGTAAGGAATCGTTCAAGATCCTGTATACCACCTTTGTCAGACCAATCCTAGTGTATGCAGCTCCTGCCTGGAGTCCATACCTAGTTAAACACAAGACAAAGTTAGAGAAGATTCAGCGGTATGCCACCAGACTCGTCCCGGAACTGAGAGGTATGAGCTACGAGGAAAAGCTAAAAGAGCTGAACCTCACGTCCCTGGAGAACAGAAGAGTAAGGGGGAGACATGATAACCACCTACAAAATTCTCAGGAGAATTGACAGGCTGGACAAAGACAAACTCTTTAGCACGGGGTGAATACGAACAAGGGGACACAGGTGGAAACTTAGTACCCAAATGAGCCACAGAGACATTAACAAGAATTTTGTCAGTGTCAGAGTAATTAACCAATGAAATGTACTAGAAAGTGATGTGGTAGAGGCAGACTCCATACACAGTTTCAATTGTAGATATAATAGAGCCCAGTAGGCTCAGGAATCTGTACACCAGTTGATTGACAGTTGAGAGGCAGGACCAAAGAGACAAAGCTCAACCCCCGCAAGCACAACTAGGTGAGTACAACTAGACGAGTACAGGACAGTGAGGTACTGCTCGTATTCACTGCCCCAGGACAGTGAGGTGCTGCTCATATTCACTGCCACACAGGACAGTGAGAGTGAATATGACCAAGAATACCAAAGTGCCAGGAATGAATATGTCAGGATGAGAAGAGAGGCAGAAACACAACACGAAAATGACATCGCAAGCAAGGCAAAGACTCAGCCTAAATTGCTGCGTAGCTACATCAGGAGTAAAACAACAGTAAAGGAACAGGTTATGAAATTAAGGGTAGGGGCGGGAGGATTCACTACAAACGACAAGGAAGTGTGCGAGGAACTGAATAAGAAATTCAAGGAGGTCTTCACCTTAGAGCAAGGAGAAATTCCAGAGA